TAGACTAAACGGAATATACATATCATAGTAACGCCATATTACAGGCTAGGTGGAATATACATGTCCCAATAACGATATGTTATAGGCTAGAAGAAATACATATGTCATAGTACAGTAGATTACAGACAAGAAGGAATACATACGTCATAGTACAGTAGATTACAGACTAGAAGGTGTATATATATTAGGTGTACTTAGACTGCTATAGAGTATATATATATACATTAGGTGTACTTAGACTGCTATAGAGTATATATATATATATATTAAGTGTACTTAGACTGCTATAGAGTATATATATATATATATATATATATATATTAGGTGTACTTAGACTGCTATGGAGTATATATATATTAGGTGTACTTAGACTGCTATACACATTTCATAATAAATATTATTATGTTAATGTACACATTTTATCCTAAACAATATATACATAGGCGTGGTTTAGTGGTTACTGTGTTGAACTGCGACCGAAAAGCCCAAGGGTCACACCTTAATGCCGCTCAAGATGCTCCACACTCTCTGTGTTATTAGAGTTAGAGCTAACTTTAATCGTCGGTTTCCAATGTGAAATGAAACTAGAAAAAAACTAAAACATAAAAATCAAAAGCAAATATGAGTGCCCAAACCCACAACGATCCACACCAATTAAAACAGAAAAACAATTTAAAAAGGAATAAAAGCAAACTATAAGAACCGGACCACTGGTGATGATAAGTGAAAAAAAAAAAAAACTCCTAAATTTGGCATTACAGCCACCGTAACACTGATATATTTATGTAATTATCCTAACTAAACCTAGAATGTCCAAGTTATTAAATACTAACATTTAAATAAAATACTGGAACTCGCCCTCCAAATTCAATGTGCTATACTTCTAGTGCATTGCAATCTATTACCAAAATATCTTATCCCTAGAAAAAATATCAAATACTGGTTAGTGTGTCGGGCTGCGGAACTGAAAGGCTAAAGGCTCAAACCATGACATACTAATGAACACGCTTCCCACTTCTAACTATAGGCGCGTTGTAGCTTTAACACTTGATGAGTAGGCAACGGTACTGCTGACTGGTTGCCCTCTCTCTGGTCAGCAACTCTGAACTAAGGATGCCTTAGCTTGAACTTTGGGGTATCTAGCCTGGCCATATGGCCTATGTTTCGCATAAGGTGCCTATGAGATTGAAAACATAAAACGCCTCGAGAAAGTAACTGTGTATAACTACACTTTCATTAATATGCTGTTATCAGAGCAATGCGGCATTTTTTCTTATAGAAAACTTATCATGACGTTTTGAGACGTTCTAAGGACTGAGACGACATCAAAGCTGACGGTGTAAGAATATAAAATGGGAAGATGCAACACAATAGAATTGAAAGCATCTGTACCATTTTTCTTTCAACTGAGCTAATATAAGGTTAATAACAACACCACTAATGCCTTCAGCTATAGAGTTTTGTTGTTCTGATGTAGATCTTTGCTGATGAAACATTTGCTCAATGCTGCCTTACTAGGTATTTCTAAGCGAAAATCCATGTACAACTATTTGAAGTGGTATTAGAACCTCCATTTTTCTAATATACCCTCACATATTCTTCTTTTAAAATATTCTTAGAAAAATATGGCGTTATACAAAGTGTAATTTAATGTTTAATGCATAATCTCTATATTTCTAAATTAGTATTTCATTGAATCTTTGTTTTTGGAAAGCTAGCCGGACTCATAAACACTGGCATTAAGAGAAATACCTCGTAGGTATGCAAAATGTAACTGGAATAGTATTAATTAACGTTTTTTACCGGAAAATAATATAAAAATAAGTTAAAACTCAAAGTGTTTAGATTGAGTTCAAATCCTGTCTGATGTACACTCACACTTTATCTTCCTTGCGGATTCAAATTTGCATCATAAAGATATATTCACTTTCGGTTTCAGCGACAATAATAATGGAGTTGAATTGTCTTTGTTCAGTTGCGACTTCCTCTATTTAATGAGAATAGTCTCTTTAAATTTCACTCATCAGAAGCTCTGATAAAGATTCTGATACAGTTATTAACATACTGATAGGCTTGTCACTTTCTCTTGCTGGATTGAGTTTCAGGCGTGTTCTTAGACACGCATATCTAGGCGACGTTTAGACGAATAATGTAATTCAAACTCCATTTGACATTGGTTTTCAAATGCAGCACATCAGAAACTTTCACGATCGACCTTTCAGTTTGAGAAAATTCTTTATTCAAAGCTGGTATATCTAGATTCTCAGTTCTATTTATAGATATTTAATCTTAATCCTTTCTTTGCCCCATGGCCTGAAATACTAGCCCCTTTCTTTACTTTTTATTCTAGTTGGCCTTAAGTATTTACTATCTTAAATAATGTAAGTGATACTGGAAACACCGTACTGTATCAACTGAGAAATGGTCACTTTGTACAGCTATTAGTGAATCACAATATTGATGAGCCTAAAAAATAATAATTAATTTGCAATAATCTATAATTCATCAAGTTCTTTTTAAAGTATTTAAAAGCCTTTGAAAGCGTGACTCGTATAAGTAGGTAATGACAAAATTTCTATGTTTACAGTTTGTCAATCAGAGGTAACTATGTGAAGTTAGCGATTCATATTTACTCAAACTGTACAACGTGTTCTTAATGCATAGAAACAATAAAAGTTAGTCTTTGATTTAAAGGAAAACGTACAACACAGTACTACTGAGACAATCACACATATATTTTTTTTCCTGACGTGAACAGTCTTGAATTTCTGAAACCAAATTTCTTAATCACAGAGACTCTTTTTTTTTTATCCACATCAAGATAGCGGGCTGGCAAGTGTTAATTTACTTTTGAAATATTTCACATATTACATTTGATTAAGTACACATGCTGTTGTTTTTGCTAAATCTCTGATAAAATTGACCTAAAAATAATTTTTTAAAAGTCAAAACAGTAATACAAGCATCAGATCTGTTTGTTTCTTTGATTCAGAAGTTTGCACAAAGCTATACGAGGTCAGAATATCGTCTTTAATAATATATTATGTTGTCTTAGAATTACAATATCCTAGATTCAGTTCTAGTTACATTGGCTCTATATATATACTGAAAATGATACGTTACTACTGTCATAGTCAATTTAATACAAAATCATGGTGGCGTTTTCACTGTATCAAAGACACCTTCGGTCAGTTGAGTAAACAAGATAAATAAAAACTTAGGAACTTAAAAACCTGCAAATAGGGTTCGTAAACAAAGTTTGTTTGTTTGTTTGAAGTTAAGCACAAAGCTATACAATGAGCCATCTGTTCTCTGCCCACCACGGGTATCGAAACCCGGTTTCTAGCATTGTAATTCCGCAAAATAAGGAAACAAGGCTGGAGATACTGCAGACATTATTTATTCACACTACAAACCCCTATTTTGGCTCCACGCTGTTACCTAGAATTATATTTGGTGGAGTTAGAATAGGGATTTGTAGTTTGAGTAATTAATTTCTACAGTATACATAGCCTTATTTCCTTACTTTTGTACGATCCCTATTTACATGTTTTTAAATTCCCAATTTTTTATTTATGTTGTTTGCTAGCTTTTTATGCTCGACTATGGACAAGGAATTACTTGATATGGTAACTAACTTTATACATTGTAACGATAATAAATATAACTAATAGCTAGCTGATACGGTTCACGATGATTTACTGTAGCTATTGACTATCTAACCGCATTAGTTCGGGAGGTAAAATGTTAAGCTGCAGCTAAAGATTGTCATGGAGATTTTTTTGAGAATATAGTGAGCATTTATACTTTCTGTGTAACTAAATTCTCTATGCACAATGCATAGCAATGGGCAAATATATCCCCAGACTAAGACACAACCCCCACAAAGCGCGTATAAAGTTTTACCAGTACAAAAGCAGTGATTTCAAATAAAACATACACATCCAAAACACCACTTTAAATAAACCTTCTTGTCTTTTAAAGTAATAATTCTACGAATGTGTGTAATAAAATTTAATATTTTATGTATTGATTTTTTTTCTCCTTCACTTCATACATAAAATAGGGGTTGGCTCCCTAAAAACACCGATTGTATAGTGTACAAAGCACTGAGTATTTTATGTAACATAAAATTACAAAATCTGAATAATTTGATGTTCAGTATTGAAAACATTAAGTTCTGAGACTGCAAACTGTAAACATTTTGATAGTATACGTTTTTCTCTCATCCACTTTGTTTCATATAACTCATTAATAGTCGATGAATTGTAACTCACGTCTAGTTTGATAAACATATTACTTCAACTCAATGATTTATTTAAGTTTTCTTATGCTCTGCAAACCTACTCTTGAAATCAACGACCAAATACGTCTTTATTTTGTTGTTGTTTTGTTATTGTTTACAAGTTGGATTTTCATTCGCTGTACTTTCCCTTTCTGTTGAGAGCAGGCGTAAACTATTAGTTAACGTACCGGACTGAGAACTTTGGGATCCATGGTTCGCGTGCGTTGCCATGCAAACGATTATCATTTTGATGTCGTAGGTGTTTTATAACAGTAACGTTTCAAACCCTCTGTTCGATTATATTAGCTTAAGAGTTGGCGGAAGGTGCTGTTGACTAAATGCATTCCCTCTAGCCTGTCAAGTCAGTATTAGGAACGGCTATACACAGATAACACTTCTCTAGCTCTGTACGAATTTCTGAGACAAACAACCTATTACTATTACTGATGGCAAGTAGTTATTTAATACTGGCTCGAAACCTTTTCACTTTAACGAGTGTTTCGGTGGCAGAAAAACTTTTTTACAGTCTCGTTCTTGAAATGTAAAAAAAAAAAGACATGTTTCAACGGCAGCACTTACTCAAGGTCTTTCTTATTGAACTGGGTTTACGTGTGTAATAAATAAAGGACCTTGAGGTAAGAGGAAATAAAAGCAGAAATTCGCGACTTACATAAGGTAGAAACGTCTCGATTTTATAATAAAGAAGTCTGTACATAAAATTGAGTCAATATGAAAACCAAAGTTTTACTGGTGATTCTGATTGTTAGATTGGCTTTAACTACTGATGGTCAGAGTTTAGCCCCTGCAAATTGTCCTCGGCCAGATGTTGTAAAAGACTTCGAACTGAGCAAAGTAAGAACTTTATTTTTTAAATTAGTTTGAAGTTATAGTTACATCCATTTGTTTTTGATCCTTTCTAAAAAAACTGATTTTTCTTTTTTGTATTATTTCTCAATGTATTTCATTAAACAATATATAATACAATAAATTTTCAATGGTATACCTGTCTCGTAACTATCGAGTGTTTTGTGTAGCATTTAACATTGTTGCACGTACATAATTAATTAGTATAAAGCAGTTATAAAGAGTAAACTTTCGTTTCTTACAAACTGTTATAAAATTTACAAAGTGTAAATTTCATATTACGAAGTTACAAAGACTTCCTGTTCAGAGAAACATGTTACTTCGGTTTAAAATAGTCAATGACTTATTCTCCGGTAATACGTTTTACTTCTTCTGTTCGGATTCTACCTAGTCAACATTAAGTTCCCATAGACGCTTGTTATTTAAAAACCTACAACGATTTCCTCTTCAGTAAAACGTGTTATTTCTTCTCTTCGGTTCTATATAATCAACAGGAAGTTCTCACAGATTTGTTACTACAGTTTTAAAAACCTAGAGGGACTTCCTCTAACTATAAAAATTTATTATTCTGTTACAACTTCTGTTTCGTTTTATATAATAAAGTGAAAGATCCAATAGACATTTGTTATAGTTTTAAAAACCTAGAGGGACTTCCTCTAACTATAAAAATTTATTATTCTGTTACAACTTCTGTTTCGTTTTATATAATAAAGTGAAAGATCCAATAGACATTTTTTATAGTTTTAAAAACCTAGAGGGACTTCCTTTCAATAAAACGTTTTACGTCCTACGTTACGAATTCTGTTCAGCATAATACAGTCAACTTCCCTAAGTTTTAAGATACTTGTTATCAGGAAATTATAAGCAGCATTAAAATGTATTTTGTCTGTTATCCCTTCATGATTCTGTTTCAAAAGAGTCAGCCATCATTTACTTTAATAAAATATTTTATAAAAGCGAATTTCGAGCGAAACTGGTAGTATATATTTATATATACAAGTATACATTAAAATACTTTTATTGATATTCAACTTACAAATACTTAGAATTTTATTGTCTTCAAGACCGATTTTCTTGGAATATCACTTCACATGAAAGTTAAGAATGTCTAACAAGCTGAGCTGAGAAATACACTTCACCATCTATAACATACGTAGCTGTTTTTTTGTTTTTTTGCCTCTCAGGGTTTATGACCCGCTCTTCAGAAAGTGAAATGACCAGTTCTCACTGTGCGTTCATGTATGCTGTCTTTTCAAAACATCGAATTGGAGATTTGTATCATTTTGCAATGTCTTTTTTTTCTCTAAAATTCTATTTATATACAGTTCAGGCAACACAATGTTGCTATGTAAAAAATGCCTAATCAATGCAGCGAAGTATAATTAGGCCTAACAATGACTGCCATAGGTCCTAATATTTTTAGGCAAATTAATTAAGAAGAATATATAAATACCTTTAAATAAGATATTCATCATTCTTATTAGTTTCAGTTCTGTCACGGTAAGAGAATACTTGTAGAATGTTCTTCAACTAGAAATGAACATTATTTTATTTTTGTGATTAACTAGGGAAATTTTTAGTATTGAAAAACAAAACTTTCCACAGTTCTATTAGTTTCTAACTGCATTTCAAGGTAACATTGTTTTCTATCAATACGTTAACACGTAAATGGTTTTAGTGAACGATCAGAAAATACTTATTTTATTTTAATTTCTGTTAAGTACTTAGGAAAATGGTACGAAATCCAAAGAACACTTGCTCTGTTTGAAAGAGATCTACAATGCGTGACTGCCGAGTACGGGATCCTGAAAAACGAGACAATTTCCGTCAGAAACGCCGGCATCAACAGCAAGTGAGTGTACATCTAAACATTATTTAATCTTGTTTGTTTGTTTGAAATTAAGCAGAAAGCTACAGAATGGGTTATCTGTGCTCTGCCCACCACTGGGGGGGGGGCATTATTTAATCTAATAAAAAAAGTTTGAAATAGCTATGAACATTTGAGAAAAAAAAACTCTCAAACATTCGAAATAATTTTTTCTTCTAATGTGCTGAGCGGTTAGTGTGCCATACTATAAATCTGAAGATCCAGGTTTGATTCCCATTTCCGAAAAAAAGCGTTCTTCGTCCTTTGGGGCAGTTGTGCGTTATAAAAGTAACGGTCAACTCAAGTGATGGAAGTGGATGCTGTTTACTAGCTGCCGTTCCTCTAGTCTATCAAATCAAACTTAAGAATGCCTAACACAGATAGTCCTTGTGTAACAAACCAGTTATCTTGTGATACGTGTTTCGAATTCAACACCTAAGTTTCTCTGGTATCGTGCCAAAAAAGTTTTTTTTGTGTTATCATTTTTAAACGAACATACGTTCTGAGCAAATTTTAATTTTTAAACTTTTGTTTTGTTTCTATTTTCTTCTAAAGCTGCTTCTAATTAACAACAAACAAACTTTTCTATTTGGACAGGATGTAGTCAAATTTATAGTTACTTGTGTAATTAAAGATAGAAACGAATACAAGAAAAAACGTTTAAATAGTTTGTTTGTAGTTAAATACAAATACAATGGCCTATCTGTGTTGTACCCACAACGGATATAAGCTTTCAGACCTACATAACTTAACTTGCATTTAGCGATAATGATATTAATTATTTAAAGAACCTTACTAATATATTTTGGCAGTAAGTTTTTGACGAGAGGTATAACGGTTCAATTTTCAAAGATTTTAACTTTTGATATTGGAATCCGATTCCGAATAGGAGTTGACATTTGGTCCCTAAAATAATATATATATATGAAAGGGTAGGACAAAACATAAAATTAATACTATATATTATTTTTTTCGTATAGACCACGAATCTGTGCTTTCTTCCACCTTATTCTTGAATGGCGAGTTCTCAATGCGGAATGTATTAGATACTGTTAAGAATTTGGTTTTCTAAGTTCGTGTAGCAATGATCTGAAGCTATAATAGTTGTTCTTGTCTCTTATGGGACCGAATGAACTGAGTGAATTCTGAAATTAGGCAGGTTTAATTATAATACAAGAACATTAAACGAAAAGCGTCAACTAACACCATCTGTCATCGTCAAATATAATAACGACTGAGTAATTTTGCTTTTTATTAATTTTTTTTAGTGTATTGCACTTCAGACCTGAAAAATATTATAGCCTGTAGAGCAGTGTTCGAAGTTTAAATGAACCAATTTCATGTATAAAAATAACATATAACATCAGAAAAAGATGATAGGGTTCATGATGGTATTTGAGTGCTTCTGGGTACAAGCGGAAAAAACAAGAAGCATAACATGACAAGAATATATACCAAAAGCCTTGTTATTGAAGTGAATTTACAAAGAAGTTTTGAACTAAAGGAACTTAGACTTATGAGATGTTTCTTATGAACATACAGAACCAAACAACTTTAACAAAACAAAGTTGGCATCAGCAAGATAGTATGGTTAATAATTAGTTCTAAAACTATCCATATTAACAAACTGAACATTTAAATAGCTTGTCATTGTTGTTCTCACCTCATCAGTCTAATACTGTAATAAGTGTAACTATGCATGAGCCATATCATATTATTTATCACAGTTTAGCTCATATTTTAATTTGTAAATAAAATTTGAATTTGATCTATTGTTGTTTGTTATTAAGCACAAAGCTACACAAAGGGCTATCTGTGCTCTGCACACCACGGGTATCGAAACCCGGTTTTTAGCAGTATAAGTCCGCAGTCATACCACTGGGGGGGGGGGGCTATTGACCAGAGTCAGGATATGTTTTTCTGTACCGACTCTACGTTAGATCTTATAATGCCTAAAATGGGATATGAGAAACAAATTATCTAAAGTTTTCAAAATGTTCGCTATTTTCTCATTAGTTGATACTAATCATTAAAAGATCCAACTTGAGACACAATCATGTTACTATCATAATAAACGAAACAATAAAACTTTATTTTTCAAGATTCAACTTGAAAAAAAAACTGTTTTTCTCTCTTTTGTCCAGATAAACAGCTAACACAAAATGCAGTCAGTATGTTACTCTATTTAAGAACATATCTATATTTTGATAACACGGTTAGGATAACATAACATAGGTTCTGCTAAGCATGATTGAAAACTTTAGATAAATATCTTCCATTTAATTTGTTTACAATTTCAAAATTAACGTCTCAAAAAACACTAAAAATTATACTATTTTAGGAGCAAACTAAATTCTAGTCAATGTTTAAATCAAACGACTTTCATTAGAACAACATTGTTTTGCCGAAACGTTGACTACGTTATTCTATTTTCCTTAGTAGCGTCCCGTTTCATTATCAGATCTCATCAGCTGCATACATTTGATGTTGGCTTTTATTAAGTGTTATTTCAAAGTATAATTTGTTTCTAATTTCTTAGCTTTTATGAAGTTTTATTTGTTGGTATGTGCTTAACAGAAGTTAAACGATTCATTTCTATACTAAACTTGCGACTTTCCAATGTTGATATAAGAATATCAAACAAGTGAAGTGGGTGCACTAACACCGAAGTATCAAAATCATTAAACCACAAACTGTTATATAGAAAGTCAATATTTTATGATAAAACACGACATTACGGATTTACCTTTTCTTGTTATCTACATTTATCAACAACTCTTACGTTTCCTTACTCATCAATATGTGTAATTTTATCATTAGCTTCTTTTAAGTAAACAGTAACTGTTTCAGACATTTTAAAGTTAGAAGAAAACACATATATTTCGAATATGCGACCAACCTTGATTAAATATTATACTTAGAATTTCATCAACCATTATATATTTGACCTCGGCTAAACTTTTCTCCTTGAAATAAAATATATACTTAGCAAACTCGACACCAGGGGGTTTGTTACATCAGTCTGTCAAACGACTAATTTCTGTAGACCGTGACAAAAAAAAAAAGGATTTTTGTACATTTACTAGTGTTATAAAGTTGCTATTTAATTTAGTAGTCTAAATGTCGAAATATCAAGGATAAACCTCGATGATATCTCGAACATAATTCAAGTCATTATGCAATATAAAAGTAATTAAAGCATGGATACTATTTGCACATATTTGTGAGCTGTTTTAGGGATTATGAATGTTTGTTTTTCTGTAAGTTTTAACTTCTTTAGATGTTTCTAATACAGATTTAACAATAAAACATTGGAAGCATTTTAATAAAACAGTGATGAAAGAAGAGTTAGAAATCTGTCCATTTTAATTTTGACCATGTAACAATGAGTGAGATGCTTAAATCCACTGAACAATATTATAATCCAAGTACATGATGGAACTACGTAACCGGTTACTGTTCTGTTAAAAAATGTCAATAAAATCAAACTAACAACAACACGTGTTTCTCCATATGCTTTAACCACAGTACGGGCCCGGCATGACCAGGTGGATAAGGCGCTCGACTCGCAATCTGAGGGTCGCGGGTTCGAATCCCCGTCACACCAAACATGCTCGCCTTTTCACCCGTGGGGGCGTTATAATGTAACGGTCAATCCCACTATTCGTTGGTAAAATATTAGCCCAAGAGTTGGCGTTGGGTGGTGATGACTAGCTGCCTTCCCTCTAGTCTTACACTGCTAAATTAGGGACGGCTAGCGCAGATAGCCCTCGTGTAACTTTGCGCGAAATTCAGAAAAACTTAAACTACTTTATACATATTAAAGCCACAACAATAACAATGTTAGTTTACCACTACTTTATACATATTAAAGCCACAACAGTAACAATGTTAGTTTACCACTACTTTATACATATTAAAGCCACAACAATAACAATGTTAGTTTACCACTACTTTATACATATTAAAGCCACAACAGTAACAATGTTAGTTGACCACTACTTTATACATATTAAAGCCACAACAATAACAATGTTAGTTTACACTACTTTATACATATTAAAGCCACAACAATAACAATGTTAGTTTACCACTATTTTATACATATTAAAGCCACAACAATAACAATGTTAGTTGACCACTACTTTATACATATTGAAGCCAGATCAATAACAATATTAGTTGACCACTACTTTATACATATTAAAGCCACAACAATAACAATGTTAGTTGACCACTACTTTATACATATTGAAGCGACACCAATAACAATGTTATCGTATCATTACAATTATGATGTCTTAACAATAACTCATATCCTTTTATGTTCGTCCGTATTTAAATTAACAACTTCATTTGTTTATTTGTTTGTTTGTTTATAATTATGCACAAAGCTAAACAATGGTCTATCTGGGATCTGCCCACCACGAGTATCGAAACCCGATTTCTAGCGTTGTAAGTCCACAGACATACCGCTGTGCCACTGGGGGATTTCTGTTTTTCAGTAGAATTTTTCTAGGCAAGTGTGCAATAAGTATTTACTGTCTGAAATAAACGGAGGAAAGCTAAAATCTTGATTCAAAATGAAAATCCGTTTCAGTTTAAATTCAAGTTTAGTAAATTAGTAGTTAGTCAAAGACATCATAAAATCTCTATAGCCTAGATCCAACAACAGAAACAATTACAACAGTATGCCATTCTCTCTTAGATACATTAAAGAAATGTGTTTCTCTATTCACTCCTTCATCGGGAATAGATAGATAGAAAGTAATATATATATCAAAGAGTTTGAAGAATCCAAAACTCGTCAAATTAATGTGTTGGTAGTGTAGCCTTCTGTGAGTTTTATGATTTATCTTCTAAATGTTGTCATTTTGATTATTTTGTCATAAATCAGTGTAAGGTTGTTATTTCAAAACTCTTGGACAAGAATATTTTTAACCAACTATCATTCGGTAAAAAACATTCTATAAATGTTGTTTCAGTGGAGAAAAGAAAGGTATCGAGGGAGAAGCCACTGTGCAAAACATTTCCGAGCCAGCCAAGTTGAAAGTGCGATTCGAAACAGGTGAGGAAGCACCAAAAATGGTTGATTAGGAGATCACAATATCTTGTAAACTTTTGGACATTTTTGAAAACGAACAAATGTTATGATGTTGTATACATAATAAGCAATACATGTAAAAATATATTTCAAGGTGCAGATGCTTTGCAAAACAATATATTTATCTTCTCTGTTTTCTGCCCATCTTCTCGTGAAAACTAATACAAAAAGAAAAAAAAAAGATTTAAAATTCTAAATGTACATTCAGCACATTAAGTCCACCGGTAACTTGGCGGAAAGCTTCAGGACATATAACATTAGAATTCGGAGATAAATCCCCGCAGCTGCCTCAATTCAGCTCACTGTGCAGTTTTGCGCTAAAGAAAATAATTATTCTCGAATAAACGACTATCTATGCTCCCAGAGTCTTCATAATATGTCGACTGACTTACATAACATATATATATATATCATCTTGTGTGTCTCAAGTTCATTGAAAAATACGCTACTTATCTGTTCAATACATGGACGTCAAGCTCGGAAGGAACCCCAAATGGCAGTTTCTATGAGATTTTTCTATTCGGGCAGGATTAAAACATATACATAAGTTACGCCATAGCCTGTAGGATCTTCAGCTCATTGGAGTGTTCATGCTAGATCAATCTTCTTTGTCTCCACTCCACCCCCACCCCCCACCCCCAAGCCTTTTATGAAATGGCTCTGATGTTCCAGTATCGTTTTGAAAAAAAAAAGAGAATCAGGTAAATGTGACCTCTAAACAACATTTAGTGTAATGATTCTTCAGTGCCCTCTAAACAACATTTAGTGTACAGGTTCTTTAGTGACCTCTAAACAACAATTAGTGTACAGATCCTTTAGTGACCTCTAAACAACAATTAGTGTACAGATCCTTTAGTGACCTCTAAACAACAATTAGTGTACAGATTCTTCAGTGACCTCTAAACAACTTTTAGTGTACAGATTCTTTAGTGCTCTCTAAACAACAATTAGTGCACATATTCTTAATGACCTCTAAACAACAATTAGTGTACAGGTTCTTTAGTGACCTCTAAACAACAATTAGTGTACAGATTCTTTAGTGACCTCTAAACAACATTTAGTCTACAGGTTCTTCAGTGACCTCTAAACAACATTTAGTGTACAGGTTCCTTAGTGACTTCTAAACAGCATTTAGTGCACATATTCTTAATGACCTCTAAACAACAATTAGTGTACAGGTTCTTTAGTGACCTCTAAACAACAATTAGTGTACAGATTCTTTAGTGACCTCTAAACAACATTTAGTGTACAGGTTCTTTAGTGACTTCTAAACAACATTTAGTGCACATATTCTTAATGACCTCTAAACAACAATTAGTGTACAGGTTCTTTAGTGACCTCTAAACAACAATTAGTGTACAGATTCTTTAGTGACCTCTAAACAACATTTAGT